GACTAAAATGCATACTAATGCTTTACATCAACTTAAAAGACAACTGTTACATAATAATAATCTAAAAGAAAACTTATAATTTTTGTGTTAAAATAAATAATGATTTAGACATTAGAGTATTTGTAAATGATCATCATTATCATCCTTCCCCGTGAAAGAATTATCATGTTAAAGTTTAACTAATCTCAGTTTGTATTTATTGTCTGAACATGTATATTTTATTAGAGATAATTATGTTTGAGTCAGATAAGATTACTGTGAAAAATAAAACTCTTTCTCCAAATATTTAATACAATTGTATATTCAAATCTTAAACTCGAAATTACTTATTAATCTACAACAATCTTACACTAATAGATTCAATTTATGTATTTAGTGGTGGTTAATTCCAAATAATTAATAAGCCATTGCATGCCATATTAATTTTATCCTAACACCTTTAGACATAAAGTGATAATCAAACCACCTCCCCCAAAAATAGAAATGAGTTATGTGGCGTAGTTGACAATTCAGAAGGCATAATTTGAACATATATGTGTCAAAGTATTGATGAAAATAATGAGCAAGAACATACATTGAAACAGTGTTGCAGCACAACATATGATCGTGATTTGGAGAGACATGAAATAAAAATAATGATGCAAAAGTGAAACCGACAAAGGAAACAGTAATAATGCAAAATATTGATGCCTTTTAATGAACTTTTACTAGACAATATTCCGACAACATTTATGCAACTAAATGGATAGCTAAAGCTTCTTTGGCGTTTTGTCTGCATAATTGTTTCATTTTTCTTTGGGTTCTACACATTGATTGTTTTTAAACAACTGTGCACAAAAAACTAAATTTCGGCTTATGCTGATGTTAAATTATTGAGAGAAAAATAATAATCTAAATGAATAAAATACAAATCTGTGCATGAAATTTCGATGTCATTTTAATTTATGATTTGAAATTTAAACGGAAAATAGAGACTTGTCATTGATTACTAACTAAGCAACAAAAAAAATGTGACAAGTCTTTACAAATCTTGGAAAATTATTGATTTATGATAATTGAATGACTTTAAAATGGGTTGTTTTGGATTCTCTGGTCTTTGATTTTGCATTATTTTCTCTTCTGTTCAATTTGTTGGATTTATTGTAAATACTTGTTTAGGGTGCACAGGATGGTGAAGAAAGAGATGTTTCGAGATAAAATTAAGTGACGGTGGAAAATTGACGTATATAAAAAAGTATACCTACCAATATATATAATAAGAAAAAGAAACTTTATATGTATTTTTTCATTTTCAATTATATTAGTTGTTAATTTTTTTTATATATTTAATTTATTGTAAAATATATTAATAATACAACTGCTGATTTCCCATGAAAGTAGATATGTAAATCGAATATTAACAATATAAGTCATGTTAAAATATATTATTTTTTGAATTACGAATAATATTATTAAATATAATAATTGCATAAATTATTTAATTAATTTTAAAAATATTTTTTAAAATAAAATTTAGTGTTACGAAATTATTAAATACAAATAAAATCAATTAATTTAATTACTTTAATTAATATTAATGAATTAGATATTTATTTGTTATATATAGTATTCATGAATTAGATATTAATGAAATATTAAAAATAAAAAATATAAGATAAACAATAACTTAAAATACATCTATCTTATAATTAAATCTAAATGAAAATATCAATTTATAAAGTTAAAAATTATAAAGAAAATATAATAAACTCAACTATTTAGGGTTAATTACTTTTATATATACAAGGATGTTTAAGTAATATTAGTTGGTCGGTATTCATAGATATATCATACTTTCATTTTATTTGGTAAAAAAATATATTATCCGTGAACATTCATTTAAACTATTCTTTTATCATTTATAGTAGATTTTATCTATAAGTATTTACATGTACAAAAAATTTTTTGGTCATATTTTATCCTTTTTATATGTGAAAATCTTTTAGGTTAACGATAATTATAATATTATGAGTGAGTCAGTAAATTATAGATATGAGCAGCAAGAAAAAAAAAAAAAAAGAAGTTATTACTCGATTATTTTCACCTTAATTTTCATTTATATAACAGAGAATAATGAAAGAAAACTATATATTTTACATTAATTGATCAACAGCAGGAAAAAAAAAAAGGATTAAAACATTCATAATGTTCTGTAATGAAGTAATGATATCATCTCAATCTTAACTAAGCTCAATATACACATACATGTATTTGGCCCCATATAACATATAGTATGAGTGAAAACCATTATTATGTTTACATTCAATTGAAGAACTAGGCATAGGAGGCCACCATTTTTTGCCACAACCTTCAATAGCACGTCGAGTGTATAGAAAAGCTTCATTCTCAAGATGAAACCTTTGTTGACCAGTCAAGTCTTTTTTCATTCAAGTAACTTTTGTACTTAATTAAATCATTATTTATATTATTTCCATCCAATAAATGCAATGAAACGTTATACTTCATCATAATGTTTGTGAGCATAATCAACATTTAACATCTTGCAATATGATAAGGTAGGAGAAATTTACACTAGTATATAAAGTGAAATTAAGTTAAATATTTTTGGGTTTGGTTTGAATATTAAGATATTCTGAAAAGGTTGTTGATTAAAAATTCCTAAATTCCTATCATATATATATGATTAATTAGTTGGTTGTATCTTAGTTGAACTTAACCATAATCCAATCTCAACTATGTAATTATATTATTTTATGAAGTTTCAATTCATCGCTCTTTATAGTATATGTAGTTTGGATATGTATAGTCAGAAATTAACCTATCCATAGTTCATTTTTATGACAAATATAGTTTGGATATGTATAGTCCGAAATTAACTTATTCATAATTCATTTTTATGATAAATTGGTGTTGTCTTTTAAGTGTAGATTAATTTTTTTGTTATCAATTTTAAAATATTGCATAGATCTGTTATATGATATGGAGGATTAACCATGAAATCTATTGAGAATATAAGATAATTAAATATTAAAAAAATTTCGTGGCCACCATCAAACGCTTGTAGAATTTTTATATTTTATAATCTTTTTACATTTGTGGTTACATAATTGATGTAGAAAAAAAATGATGATAGTTTTTAAATTACAAACAACTTTTGTATATTGGTTATAAAAACAGCCAATATAAAAAATAAACACTATAACTTAAATTACATTAAAACTTAGTAATTACAATATTACAAACTGTTAAGGCTATATGAAATTAATCTTATTCTAAATTAAAACTTAACTTGTATATCAATTTACTTGATATAATGCTGATTAATTCTGTGAGTATTTTCTGTTTGTCATACAATTGATAAAAGATGTGATGAAAAAGTATTAAAATATAGAAGATTTTTTATGTGAGACGTATAAATATTTTGCAATATATATAGCGGAAAAAATTGTGTGACAATATAATTTGATGTTTCTCAACATTTTAGGATAAGACAAAAGATAGTCTAATTATAGGTAAAAAAGTGGTTTAGGATTTAAGATTCAGGTGAAAAAGTAGGTTGCCACTTGATGAGCCAATTCATTAATATGTTAGAATTATCTTTTATAGTTAACTTATTAGTTCATTGAGACAATATAGATTAGTTTATTAGTCCATTTTAATTATTTATTTATTTATTTTTTATCTTAAATGATGATATTATAATTTTATTTATGTTTACTTTATAGACTTTGTATTGTGATGTAATTTTATTATTGAAAGATTATTAATATTTGGTATTGTAGTTTTTAAGGACTATTATAATGTGTTGTTAAAAGATTAGTAGTAGTATTTTTGATTGAATTTTTTTTTATAATTTAATATTTTGTGTTGTAGTCTTAAAGTTGAATGAAAAAATTATGATATAGGTCCTTTAATTAAAATTTTTCAATCACTTAAAAAAATTAAATTTGTTAATTTAAATTAATGATAAGATAAAAAACACATTCTTTTCCAATATTAGTGAGCTTGTCCATTTATGAGTGAGATGAACAATAATTTATAGTTTATTTTTAGTGAGTGAGTCAATCTATCCTATCTATTTGTAGTGGGGTGGATCAAATCCGGCTAAATTAACCTGTTTTACCATTTTTATTCTTAATACTTGTCTAGATTTAAAAGCACTCATTTATTTTAATTAAGATTAAATTTATAAAGTTTTGAATTTTTTATAGTTTAATAATGACAGGCAAAATAGCCTCATTGTATCCAAACTTCAAGAGATGAATGTAATATAAATGTGCATTATATTACATGATACAAAAATTGTAATTTTTAATTAATTAATGATATATTCACATTAAGAGCAACTCTAATGGGAGTTGCTTGTTCCATGAAGCAATTCAAACTCTGATTTCTTGTCATTGGAGGACTCTGACATGGTAACATGAGTTGCTTGAAAAAGAGAGAGAGTTGCTCTGTTCCTTACCAAATTTTAAGCAGATCATATTAAACATATCTGGGAATGTTTCAGAAATAATAATGATGAAAATTAATTTCGTATAATATTTATGTATTTACTATTGCTTTATTTTATTTTTAATATCTACTTATAGTGTATTTTTTTTTCGTAATTTATTTTCTTTCCTTGTAGTGCAATTATCCATTTTAATAAAAATTTAAATTTAGTTCATAAATGATTAGAAAAAAATTATAAAAGTTAAATTTCTTAAAATTTCTTATTATTAGAATAAATTTGTGTTTGAGTTGCTTAATGCTGACATATTACACTAAAAATTACTTTTTTCATTTTCAATGCATGAAACGACTCAAATAAGTTGTTTCCATTGGAGATGCCCTAACTATGTATAAAAATTAAATTTAATAAACATAACTTTGGTTCAATTTTTTAAATAATAAATAATTTTATAATGCAAATTTGAAAAAATATATAAAAAAAATAAAAATATTCTTTGGAGTTCCGACTATGCCCCTAGAGTGCAGAATGAAAAAGCGTGACACTTGACAGTGACTCACACATTCTGTTACTGTTGGGTTTGAGTTTGACGATGGACGAGATTAGGTATTCATGCAATAGCGCTCGCGAAACTCTCCAATGGATCAACGAGATTATCCAATTTCTCACTCCTTACTCTTCCTTAATCAACGACCACGTAGTTAATTTCTTCAAGGTTCTTCCGATCGCAGAACTCATTCCCTTTTTTAATTTAATTTAATTTAATTAATTGATTGATTATAAAGTAACGGTTATGGTTGAATTTCAGGATAGGCTATGGGAGAATGTTGACGCCGAATGGATCGAATGCCTGCGCCGAGAGCCTGTTCAGAATCTTCTCCTCATACCTTCTGGTGCACTACAGGTTGCTTTCGAATCTTTTTTTTTTTTTTTTCTTGCTCATTTTTTTTTAAATATAGTTTTATTATTTTCTGCAATTTACGTTTATGGTTTTGTAGTATTTACTGAAATGCATCCTTTGTTGTTTGAATTGGTTTATGATTGTTTGCTTTGTGAACTGGGATGGGTTCTTTAGTATTTTAAGAGCTCATGTTTGAATTTAGTATTTATAGCCTTTTGGATAAGTTTCTCTAGAAACACTTTAAGGAGAAAAAGAAATAGAAAAAAAATTGAAATAAGCTTCTGCATTAGCTAAAACTAACTAAGATTTTAGAGAAACTAATAATAGAGTTTCTACAAATTAACTTATGCTTAAAGTTTTAGCTTATGCTTGGAGTTTGTTAAGATACAAACTTAGAAGATGTTTTAAGAATTTTTCTATTGAAAATAAAGAAGTTTTTTTTTTTTCAGTATAGAAGCCCCTCAGAAACTCTTATAACTTGTATTCAAACATGCTTTTAAGCTAATTTTAACTCACAGAGAAGCTTATTTTATTTTTCTTCCTATTTTCTCTCCTAGTACTACTTCTAGAGAAGTTTACTCAAACATGCCCTTAGTTTGGATCTTTACTTAATTGGATCATTACTACTTGTCATCTCTGCATAGTGTGTTTTATAGTTCTGAATGTGGATGCCATTTATTGTTAAACTCCTCGGAGACTTGTTGGTATGTTTGGTGTGGTGAACCTTTGGCACTTTTGGTTTTGGTAGTAGTATCAAGGTGGAAAAAGGCTCCATTCTGTTGCATTTTGCTTTGTTTGTTCCATTTGATGTATTTGCCCAGGGTATTAATAATCGGTTGCAGATTTTAAGTTGAAGCTCTTTGCTTATTTGGGACCGAATAATGTATTTGGTTTTCATCGTATTCAGTACATGGTTATTTTTAGGGGGTCTACTTAGGCTGATATGCTGCAGGATTGGATGCATCTTTTGCATTCCAGTTTTTCTCTTTTTATGCTTGTCTTTGTACTCTGTCTCATGTTTGCACTTTTTACTTTGGAGGGGTACCTTATTTTTTGACATTTGTATGCTTATGTTCTCCTTTGTATTATTCTCTCTGTATATAATAAAAACTTGGTGGCAGGATCAATGGCCAATTTCTCTTAAGGAGTTCATCAGAAAATTAAGGTCTATGGTATTTTGTCAAGAACAAGCTGATATAAACATGGTATGTAATCTTTTCCTTGTCATTCACCTTTACCTTTGTGAGATCTGGGTTAGATCTTGTTGGTGGAAATTTAAATGTTTAATGAATAAGGCTTCATATTTCTTACTTATATAATATCATGGGCAAGAGAATCCAAGGGTTACAGATTTAAAGCTTGGGTTATATATGTATGTGACAATGCATATTATTCGTTTGTCTCTTGAGCAACTTATATTGTGAAAGAATATCAATTGGGCTAGTTTACACTGAGTTTTCTCATAAACCTTAGTTATTTTGGGCATTGGGTTTGCATCAGTTTATTTAATACGACCATATTTAGGTCTTTATTTTGCTCTATGGCAAATTATACAGGTTTAAAAGAGGAGTGCTAGCCACACTCTTTAGCACACTCTTTAATATTGGTTAAAATTTATTGGAAATTACAAAATTATAAGTAGAACTCATTAAATTAGGAGTGAAATCCGGTGACCTACACAAATTTGTGATTTCCAATAAATTTCTATCAATAATAAAGAATGTGTTCAAAATAGTGTGTTAAAAAGTGTGCTGCTGACATTTTAGAGTAATCAGTGTGAACTTTTATACTTTTTGTTTTCAAGCTATATTTATCTGGGATTGGGTTTTCAATTTGGAAAGTCTTGATTTATATAAGTTTGTTTCATACTTGCAGGCATTACCTGGCCTGCAGATGACTTCACTTAACAGTGTTCTTGCTCAGGGCATGAATGTAAAGAAAAGACACGAGGTGCGTCTCTAATTTTCGCACTTTTATAATTCTAAATTGCAATTTTAATCCCTCTATTATATGAGTTGTGGAAGAACGTATCGAAAGGATTTTGATGATGCCAAAGAAGTTAAAGAAAACAAGAGGTCAAGTTAAAGCAAGGTGACCAAGAAACAAAAATCTCAAAATATTTTAGATAAGTCTTGTCAACCTAGCTTAATATGTAAAAAGAAATCTTTAGAAATATTGCATAAAGTTCTTGGCCATTTAAAATAAAGAATTTCAAAGAAAACCCAAATATGATTTATATTAATAAGGTTTTGAAAATAAAGGTTTTCAATATTTTAAGTTTTAATAAGGCAATTATTGTTTTTAAGAGTCTGGTAATCGATTACCATTACATGTAATCGATTACCAAAAGATGAATCTCATATGTTCAAAGTCACTCTTTAAAACGTGCTCTGGTAATCGATTACACATTCCCTGTAATCGATTACCAGAAGATGAAAATTTCAAAATTTGAATTTAAACTTTACAACGTTCCAATCATTTTGAAACTAAACCGTTGTAATCGATTACCAAGTCTTGTAATCGATTATCAGAGCCTATTTTTCTGTAAAATTTTAGAAAGTCACAACTCTTCATGAAAAGTTATGACCTATGAAACAATCATCTATAAATACTAATAATTTTTCAGACAAAGGTTACGAACTCAATTGTGAAAAACTATCTTTACAATCACTTGGCCAAAAGAAAATCATTTGCAAATTATCTAAAGAGTTCTACTAAGATCAAAAAGTGTAAAATCCGCTCTTCAAAGAGAGTTGTTATACTTCATTCATCTTTTCTATTGATCTGTAAAGGGGAAATTGTTGTTCTCCTTGGTGGTCTGTGATTCTCAACACGAGGAAAGAGAATTCCTAGGTGTTGGAGAATTTGAGTCTTGTAAAGGTTACAAGCATAGTGAAAAATCTCAAGTGGGTGACTTGAGGACTGGATGTAGGCAAGGTTGGCCGAACCAGTATAAAATCAAGTTTGCAATTCTCTATCCCTATACTTTTAATTTTGTTGTGAAGTTTTTGAATCATTACGTACAAATTGTTTAAGATATTGATTTTATAAGAAAAAAGTTAGAAAAACTAATAAAGAGAAGAAAAATTAGATAACTTAATTCACCCCCCCTCTTAAGTTACACGAGGCTACTTGACTAACATGAGTTATGCAATTTTGGTCCTCCAATTTTTAATTTCCATAATTTTAATCCCTTAATCTTATAAATTCCGCAATTTTGGTCCCCCTTGCCAAAATTTCATTCGTTGATTGTTAGAATTATAATGTTGGTCATGATCTGATATTGGACAGATGACATGAAAATTACTATTTAATAATATTTAGGCTAAATTGTACTTTTAGTTCTTAGTTTTATTTCATTTTACAACTTTTATGAAATAAAAATGAAATTTAGCACTAATACTTTGTAAATATTAATTGTCATATAATTTATTTGATGTCTCATCATGATAAATGTTAAAATTTTAACAATTAACAAATGAAAATTCAATGAAGGGACCAAAATTGCAGATTTTATAAAATTGAGGGACTGAAATTGTAAAATTAAAAATTGGAAGACCAAAAATTATGGATAGCATATTATAGGGGGACCAAAATTGCAATTTAGCCTTTTTCTTTCTTTATGAGTTTACAAGATCAAGATGTTGTTTGGGGCTGAGTTTAGGCTAGTGAATTTTGAGATCTCGATGTCATTTTCTGTTTGATCAAGAAATTTATTGGATTTCAATATATCAGATTTTTTTTTTCATGAGTGCAGGTAGAAGTTCTTTCTGCTGTTATAAGTACTGTTGCAAAAAGTGTGAGAGCTCATGCCATTGTTGACGTTGGTGCTGGTCAGGTGCATCTTCATTTTCTTTTGCTTACGATTTTGTTACAAAAGATACTGAACCTAGGTCTGTTTTACAAATTGAGGGACTTGCATGGTTAGAAGTAATTATCTTCTTTTGGATCCCAAGGGTGGAGTGGTTGTTGGCCTCAATGTCAAAAGTTTTAGTCTGAATATTGGTTGAACAGCAAGCATAAGTTATGTCCTCAATTAGTGATGCATTGGGCATATGCGTTTAATGCTTGTTGTCTACATTAGATTCCTCAGTATCAAAATTGAAAGTCTGTATATTTTTAAGCTACAAGCTTAGTTTCTGATTGTTTGGTATGCTCTGCTGGTTTCACTAGATTCCTCAATATCAGAGATGAAATTCTGTATATTCATTGGTCAATAAGCAAACATAAGTTTTGCCTTCCCTATGGATAATTTTGTTGTCTGATAACCAAGATAATTAAATTTGAGAGTTTAAGTAAATTTGTGGAGGACCGGTAAACTCAACTCGTAAACTTGACTTGTAAACTCGTATCTCATTAAAAGTATACTATAATTTTAACATAAATAACAAAATATTGCACTCACTATAAGTAAAAATTATCCAGAAATAAATAATAAATAAATAAAATAATGAAAATAAGCCATAATTTCATAAGATGTCAGTAACAACGTACCAAATTTAACACAAATACAGAAGACAAGGATCATCGTGGAGAAGAGTTCACACTTCGTCGAACAGCTGATAGGGTTGCAGGGGCGATTTTGAACAGCAGTGGCATTGGGGCACCACATATGCATTTGCCTTGAGAATGATTTGGGAGACAACAATTTTAGGTCGAATGGAATTGGGGGGCAGTGGGGGTGGAGCGGCTCAGCAAATATTTTTAAAAAATTAAAATCCTAAAATTGAACCCAAACACACAAGTTTGACAAGTTTGTTGCCAAGTTCACCAATTTCATCCGACTTTAGATGATTCTGAGTCTACATGCGAGTTCTCATTTTGGATTTGTAAGATTGTAAACTTGTATGAGTTTACGATTTAACATGTTAGTCTAGCAATCATGCTGATAACTGATTTGCCTCTATTTGTTTTCTTATTTAAACAAGTAATACTTTTTGTATATTTTTATTTAAATGTGCTGCATCTCATTTTATGTTATATTTTGCTCCTATTAGGGTTATCTTGCACAAGTACTGGCATTTCAATATCAGCATCCTGTCATTGCAATTGATGCATGTTCTCATCATGGGAAGGTTACTAATGCACGGGCAGAACGAATTAAAAAGCACTATACATCACAATTGATAAAATCTGGGTATGTTCTTCAATTCTTATCTTATTTACTGCAATATTTACTATCTTCTTAAAGATGTTTGAAATGACTAACAGATACATGACAAGGTAAGAAGTGAACATTTTGCAGTTGAGGAATTTCCAAGCATAAGTTTTAATTTTCACACTATGAATTTATAGTTTAAAAGTAAAAAAATCAATGTGAGGATGTTATTATGAGTATGTTTGGGAGGATAATTGCAATTCAAAAATGCCTTTGTAGTAGTTCAAAGTTGACCATGTTGTGATTTTGATCTCTGCAATTTTTATTTATTATTAATAATAATAATATTATTATTATTATGAGAATTTGTTTGTGTGCTTATTTGTTTTGCTGTAGATCAGGCATGCGGAGTTTGAATGTGCCAAAGACAATCACGTGTCGCGTATTGTCCATTGACACATTAAAAACCTTGGTTGAAACATCAATTCCTGGAGATGATGTTGAGCAATCCAGGTTAAAGGGAGAAAATCAAGATCAAGGGAAACTACATTGGCTCAGTGATGCAAACAAAAAGCCTTCTACTGTTCTTGCTGGGCTTCATGCCTGTGGTGACCTTTCGGTGACTATGCTGAAGTGAGTTTCAAAATAGGTTTTTATTTTTTAACCTTGCCTAATTGTTTATAATTTCTTTATAATTCTATTGAGTCTTGTCTTGACAGCTATAGCATGTCATTGTCAACTAACATCCGACTCATTACATTGTTCCTTACATTAAAGCATCATCTTGTCTTTGCAGTTAATTACTCTGTTAACTTTTATTGGCTTAACTCCATACAAAACATATTAACTGCTTGTTTTATAATGTTGCCATTGTTTCTGTGCCTGTTACTTTATCATATGTAATCTGTAATGTATTACGTGGACTTGTAATTCTTCAATTTGTTTCTTATTAGGACTTTCGTAGAGTGTAAAGATGTTAAAGCTGTTGTTAGTCTTGGTTGCTGTTACAATTTATTATCTGAAGAAATGATTAAGGGTGATGAATCTCAGTGTGGTTTTCCAATGAGTCATGCTGTAAGATCCACTGGCTTATCACTTGGAAGAAGTGCACGTGATCTTGCTTGCCAGGTACATGATCTTTCCAGTCCCTCGCACACTTGAACTTCAGTTTGGGTTGGGTTGCATTTGTGCTTTTTTCTTGTTAAACTTAAACCAAACTAATTAATAACATTTTGGTTTGGGTTGGGTCCAAAAGGTCAAAAACTTCTATAAATTTTCAAGTTGTAAATAATAATTAAAAAATAAAGTGTCACTGCAAAAAGTAATGCATCGGGTCACAAGTTAAAAAAAAAAAAAAAAAAAACCGTTACGTGAACTGAAGGGCATTAGGTTCGAACAAGTTAGGTCTAGTTTTACTAGAACAAAAATAAAATTCCAATCAATTTGTTTCGGTCAGTTTAGGTTTGCTTGTTACCTAAACCAGTGAACGCCCCTGCATAAACATGCATAATATAAACCACTAAGATCACATGAATAGTTTCTTTGTCACATCATGCACATTTTCTGATAAATACATATGTGATGTTTTCATTATATATTTGAAGGATAAAATTTAGATACAGTTCTATGAGTGTTAGTATTGTTCTCCTATTACAATTGAAATTTCACCTTGATAATTTGCATTATACAATATTTTATTAAATGTCAATGCATATTAATGAGGTGAAACTCCAATTCTAATTAGAAAATAGTACCTATAATACATGCAAGTCTTATCCATATTTGAAACATATTTGATTTCAAAAGAAGTTGACCCAATAAGCCTTGGTTATGTAGGGATAGAGTTGAAATAAGGTTTTACCAAGGAGTACTACCAATGCAGACCCATTAGGAATCTTTGGGGCTTACAAATAAGACACTAGAACACGCAAAACAAATATGTCAATAACTTAAAATTGTATATATTACTCCCACCAATAATTATTTTCGTTTCTATTGCAAATAACTCATGTTTAGATGAGAACTACTGAGTTCATTGTAGCTCATTCAGAAACAGAGGCAATTTCTGCAAAAACATAAATAGTAATTATTGGTTCTGACTATTCCCTGCAATCTGATTTTTATGAATTTACTGTGTTCTTACTTCTTAATCTCAATTCTTATTGTTTAAATATTATTATTAAAGTCACACGAGTAGTTTACTGAAGTATCCGTGTTGCATTCTGTTAGAGTGCAGAGAGATGGAGGAGCCTGGACATGCATGCTGGCATTCACAACTTTGAGCTGCATGCTTTTCGGGCAGCTTTTCAAATGGTACCAAGCATTTTTTTTTTTCTAACTGTACATTCATTTTCGAACATGCTTCCTTTTTTCAGCCCTCCTTATCTCACTTTTAATACAAAAATTTCAATGTCTACTGAACATTGTTTTTCAGACAGTACATTAATTCAAATGTACTAAAATAACTAGATAACTAAATGAGACCATAAAAATCCTTTTTATCCAACATGACCCTTCCTACTTTGCTTATCAATCTTACTGTAGATTGCATATAATTGTAATGCTACCACTTATTCTGCCCTTCATAAAATTTCTTATATTGGAAAATGATTCTTATTGAGAAATTTAATCTGTGATATCTACTTTTGCCTATGTATGTTGGTTAATGTATGTAGATGGAATCATGAAGATGCATGAATTCAGAAACTTTATTCCAGTATTTATTGTGTTGCATCATTTATGGTTTGTTTGGTTTAGGATAGAAAGTAAAAGTAAAGAAATGAAAATAAAGTTAAGTATGCATATAAAATAGCATAAATACCCCTCATTAAAAAAAGGCATACAAAGGTAAGGGTATTTTAGACATTTAATGCATAAAAAACTCTTTGGTCCCATTATGGAGAGATTGCTAAATTGGTGGGTCCGACCCACTTTTTATTCTTTCCTCCTTACATATTATGCAACCAAAGGAAAGAACATAATTTTACAATTTTTCTTTCCTCTCTGTTTCTCTCTTGTCAAACATAGTGTTAGTCTTTTTGAACTGCTTAAAAGATTTTGGTGGTTGTGATTTCCAATATTGCTTGTACCAAAACTCCAAAAGAATTTGTTGTGATTATCTTTGCCTGAATTTGATTTTGAATATTTCTTGTTTGGGATTAAGTGGAGAATGGAAAAAACTTTAAGCAAACACTGTTACAAATTTTGCTGTTTTGGGAGCTTGTTCATTTTAAGTTTCTTATGTTGTCCACCTGTATTTTAAATACGTATTCTTGCACAGATGTTCAAATGGATTAGAGTGCTCCATTTTACTGTTGGATTTTCTATTGGCTTCTGTTATTTGATTTTTTTTTTGCATGTATGAGTTAGTCTTGTTCTCCTATCTTGTAATATTATACTTTTTTTTACTTGTGTTCCTTACATGTAAACATAATAAAAGTCTTGTCCGCTTCTTTTATTTTTGTATATGTTTCATAATATTGGTATAGCTATACAACATTGTTCTAGTTTGGATTTAATGAAATGTCATACCATAATCTAGCCTGAAACTTATAGAATAAATTGGACAGATACACAGAAAATTTCTTGATAGGGGCTTAGCCATCTTCATCATAAAATTTTATATGCTGTTACTGTGTCTTCCTTTATTTTTTTTACCCTGTAAAAGCATATAATCGTTTGACTTCATTTTTGAATGGGACTATCTTGCAGCAATATATGTTCATCAACTTGACAAGTGGAAAAATTACAAATAATGAAAATGAAGTTGATGACATGTAGAGAAAGAATGGTTGTATTATACTTGTTGCCTGAGCTAGTTCTGACTACACTAGACTTGCATTATGCTTTACAACCATCTTGGTGAAGAGGCATTTTGTATTTCATCATGCAAAAATATAGGGCAGTGAGATGAACACACTTCTTAGAAATTAGATTAAACAAACACAATGCACACATTATGAAAGATCACTATAATATTCGTTTTTACTATTTCATTCTACTTCAGTAACTGGATATGACCTTTTTTTTAGTTGTTCATTATAAACAATAGATCTCCCATTCTCCCCCTATTCACATTGTCTCCTGTTAATTGTATATTTTCCTTTTGAAGGTTCTTTCTAAATATTATCCGGAAATAGTGATGAGTACTCCTTCAATTGGGCGTAAAGGGAAGGCTCTTCGTCGGCGACATCAGAGGAGATCTGCTGAATCCCAGCTGCATCTTAAAGGAAGTACTTGCCACATGGGACAAATTTTACCTCCTGTAGTTCCTTCAGAGTCAGAAACTGGTATTTAAATCCCATCCATTTTGAGCGTTTATGACTGTTATGATTGGAAGTCCCCTTTTCTGTTTACTTTCTGTCCAGCACTGAAAACAGGTGGAACAAAGAAAACACTCGAGATGAAGATAGGTAGTGATGATCTTCATGGGGTTTCTATTGATATGCAGAGAGAGTGGCAATCTTTACTTAGTTTATTAGTTTGTCTCGGTTGTTTAGTTCTTATATTTTGTGTTTTCTTTTAGGAGGCTATCTTTGGTTTGTTCTTGTACTTGTTTCCCACATCAGTAATAATTTTTATTCCTTTATTTAAAAAAGCTTGGTAAATCCTTTTCTGAAACTATAAAAGCATATTAAGGTGTTCTTTCTTATGTTTAATTAAAATAATTTGTGATCTGGTACCCGGTGATAATTGCATTTGAATTTCTGAATAAATGCTTAGCTTTTTCCATGTGTTACAGAAGGAATTTTGGGCTCTGCATCAGAAATACAAACCTTAACTGGTGAAATTCCTTCTAATGAAAGGGCTGGATGTGAAGGGATTAAATCCGATGACAAATTTTCACATTTTGAGAATTTCTGCCACTCTGGGTTGTCTCATCTTGGAATTAAACATTCAAATGATATAAACCTTCAAGGCATATGGAAGGAAGCAGAACCATTTTCTGTATGTCATTTTCAATTCCTTCTATTATTTTGTTTCAAACTATTGTCATTATAATGCTCAAAATTCAATTTTTTTTTAGTACTTTGCCTAGGACTTGATTTTCTCCAAAAAGCTAATTTTAACTTTGTCATGAGTTAATTTTAGATTATGGGAGAAATTTATTTCTTTTTTCCTTTTTATTGTCTTCTTCTATAAGTGTTTATACTTTATAGATAAGTTTATCCAAACAGAACCACAGTAGTTGAGATGTTGTAGTTGGATGCATTAGTCAAATTATAATGGGAATTGGGCATATGCAAGAAATGAGATTGTAAATCCAGCTGATAGGCACTCAGTGATAAAAAAGGGTCTATGTAATGGGCAAAAATAGACAAGTAGAGGAGGCCAGGTGGGAATTAATGGGTAACAGATCCCCTATAAAAGAGAGATAGAACAGTTGGTAGTTAGCAGTTGCTAACTGACAGGCTTGTAAGGAGAGATCTAGGGTGCTATCTTTCTGAGATTGGTGAATAAGATTCTTGGGTTGTGTCTCTTCCCAGTTCTTGCAAGTTTTCCACGTTGCTTTCCCCTGATCTCAGTTGAGCAAGTCGTCATCCAACACATTATTTATCATATTTCTAGTCTCCTAAGGTAGTGGGATTTGTTGGCTTATTTGGTTAATAGGGTTGAATTTATTAGGAAAAATTATAATTGATGAACATTGTTGAATATTTAGCATGAAGCGGGAAAAAACCTTTTAAAGTCTAAAACTTGGTTGATCTTAATTTCTTGAAATTATAGGGATTTAGGTACAGGAGGAAAAGAGAGATAATAGAGACAATGATATTATCTTGTGTATACTAATGTGATACAAGATACAAAGCCTTAACTTCTATTTATATTTTTTAGTACGAATTATAGACTCCTAATCTCAATCAAATAAGAAAACAAATCATAAAATATAATGAAATAAGGAAACCATTCATAAGTTTATCATCCAAGATACTCTTTAATATTCTATGATACAATAATGAGATATTTAATAATTTTAACGCAATCTGTGTTTAGATGGACTCAAGGTTATCAATAAGGTTATACGGCGGATGGCGGCAAGGACCTTTAAGTGCCATATTGTCATGGCGGATGCCATGGCGGTCTATGGCGGACAAAAAAAAAAAAAAAAATATATCC